GGCTGCAGGCAGGGCTGCAGGCAGTCCAGTCGGAGTCAGGGCTGAAAGGCTTGCCCCTCTGAGGTCCTCGTTCCTCCTCCCGTCTCCAGAGGTGGGCAGCCAAGGCCCGAGCAGCTGTTGCATGTGTGGTACAGCAGCCTCAGCAGGCCCCGGACAAGCACAGAGTTGAGCTACAGCCCACCAGGCTGGGTTGTGGGATTGAGCAGCTGTGTGGGGCTTGTGGAGACAGACAGCTGCCCTGGGTTTTACTGGATGAATGAGTGATTTAGAAGCAGCACAATTGGAAGTCTTCCTGGAAATTGTAGGCATAATATTCCACTCTGTGTATGCGTGCGTGCATGTGCATGTGTGCACGTGTGCATGTGCATGCTTATCCTGGGGCTTGACCTCAGGGATTCACTCGCTTTTTTAGCTTTCTCATTCAAGGATGGTTTTAGGCACATCACCACTTCTGGTTTTTTGCTGGTTAATTGGAGATAAGAGTCTCATGGACTTTCCTGTGTAGGCTAGCAGGAACATGATCCTCAAATCTCAGTCTCCTGAGTAGCTAGGAATAAAGACATGAGCCCCACCACCTGACCTGACACACATATACTTTTTTAAAAAGCTTTGCTGTATTTGGTTGCTTGATGTTGCAAAATCATCATTATGTTGTGTTGCACCTGGAGGAAAATGGCTATGAATTGGTTTCCTGGGAATCTACAATAAAAAGATATGCTGTTTTTTGTTTTTGTTTTTTGTCAGTCGTGGGGCCTGAACTCTGGGCCTGGGTGCTGCCCCTCAGCTCATAGCTAGCGCTCTACCACTTGAGTCACAGCACCGTTTCCTGACTTTTTCTGCTTATATAGTGCTGAGGAATAGAATCCAGGGCCTCATGCATGCAAGGCAAGCACTCTACCGCTGAGCCACTTCCCAGCCTAAGATATGCTGTTTTTCATAAAAAGGCTTTGATATAGCTGGGCTCTAGTGACTAATGCCTGTAATCCTAGCTACTCAGGAGGCTGAGATCTGAGGATCGTGCTTCAAAGCCAGCCTGGGCTGGAAAGTCTGAGACAAAGCTGAAAGTGGAGCTCAAGTGTTACAGTGCTAGCCTTGAGCAAAAAAGCTCAAGGACAGTGCCCAGGTCCTGAGTTCAAGCCCAGGAGCAGTATACACATACGCACACGCACACACAGTTTAAGCCAGGATCTTGTGGCTCATGCTTGTGTTACTAGCCACTCAGGAGGCTGTGATCTGAGGATTATGGTTCAAAGCCAGCTGGGGCAGGATAATCCATGCGACTCTTAGCCCCAGGTAACTACTAAAAAGCCAGAAGTAGAGCTGAGGTTAAAGGGGTAGAGCACTAGCCTTGCAAAACAATTCAGGGACAGTGTCCACGTCCTGAGTTCAAACACTAGGACCAGCACACAGTGTTTGAGTGCAGATATCTCCCCTCTCCCCTTCCCAGGACTAACTGCAGTGAAAGGCGCAGTGTGTAGTCTTCGGAGCCTTTATGTGTGTCTGCAGTTAAACATGGACAGAGGAAAGCTTTCTGAATGCTGTTTTTTGGGATCTATGGTTCTGCTTTTTAGATTCTCCCTGAGGGCTGCTCGCGGCCTGGTGGCAATGAGATTCTGGCTGAGTCTCTTCCACAGGCCCTGGTGCAGGCCCTGCCTGGGGACATCAGGTCAGGGCACCGCCACATCGCACCTGCAGGCCCAGGGCACCTGTCCCAGGACACACCCCGCACCTGTGTAGGAGGCGCCTTCGCCCTCATCCTTTCCGCTCTTCTCAGTCCCTTACCCCTGTGCACCACCAGGCACCCTCAGCTCTTACTGATTCTGTCCTGCCACACTTCTGTGGCTCATGGAATGACTGGCATGGGGACACAGACAAGCAAGCCTTGTCCCCCTCCCCCGTGTGCCGTGCTGCCCCTCCCTGACAGAGAGAACCGCTGAGGGATGGGTGGTCCACCTCAGATCATGGCAGGGTGAGAGCCATGGCCCAGGCCAAGGGTGCTCCATGTATGAAACCGGAAGTGTATTTAACTCCCTGCGCTAGTGGGGAGCAATGGGTTCATGGTCTGGCTGCCCCCCAGCCCGTCTGAGGGGGCAAGGAGCTGGAGGAGCCTGTGACTTGGGAGGGCTTTACCTTTTTCCCATGGAGAACCATGGGAGCCATGTTCCCAGCAAACCGCCCTGAAAGCAGGCCTCCCTCCCGGATGGCAGTGCTGAACTTTGGACCAGACTGCCTTAAAGGTGCTCAGCAGCCAGCGGTGGGAGACTGGGAGCCCAGGCAGCCACCGGAAGTCCTTCAGGGGACACACAGCTCTCATCCAGAGCAGCTGTCAGGGAACACTGGGTGGAAAGATTTTATGAACGTCAGCCTGAGCTGTGAGCCCAGAGGACCGTGTGCGGCACTAGTGGGGATGGGGTTGGTGGAATAGAGGGAACCACAGGGCTTGTGCCTGAAGTGCACACGCCCCTGCTGTCCAGCCACCGTGTCCTGCCTCTGGTTCTTACTTCTGTAGCATTCTGTGTTCTTGGCCTGCATGCCACCATGGGCTTGGCCTCCGTATTCAGGTGTCCCTTATCATCCCCGGCTGAGTATATGGGGCATGCCAGAACTGCTCGGGGACAGGGGAGCAGGAGCTGCTGGCCAGGGAACTGCCCAGCCTCCATGCCTCTGCCCTGCTCCTTCACCAGGGCAGCCACTGCTGTCATGGCTTTGTGTGTGCAGCACATACACGTGCATGCACCTGTGCGCACGTGTGCGTGCATGCATGTTATGCACACATGTGTGTGCATGCACCCATGCATACATGTGCACATGTGTTATGTACACGCATGTGTGTGCCTGTGACCGCTGGCGCTGGTCACAGTGGCAGGCCATCTCTGTCCTCTCTTGCAGCATACAGCTGTCCAGTCAAACCTTTTGTGGCCTGGCTTCTGCATGGAGACAGGAGCTGTCTTCTCACTTCTCAGAGACAGGTGATCTGCTCACTTCGTGACCCTGGCCCTGACACTCCTACAAGGCCTGGGCTTTGGCATTTGTTCCCCAGAACAGCTGGAAATGGGTTAACCCAGAGCAGCACCTGTAGCAGTGCCCCATTTCCTGCCGGCCGCTCGGCACCCCTCTCAGGCTCCCTCCTAGCCCAGGGAAGCCCGTCGGTCTCTCCTGTGGCCCCGTCTGTCACTTGGCCCTCATGGCACCTGTAGTAATGCACTCCTCCATCCCCGGCTCCGGAAACTGCATAGATTTAGAGCTAAGTTCAGCGAACTATGCCTCTGGGTTAGGTCCAGCCCACTGTCTATTTTTCTGAAGTTTGACTGGGATGCAGTACCCTCATTTATTTACACCTCACAGAAGCCTAGCCTAGGAGAGACCTTAACCTCCATCTGCTCCTGCCCAGCCGGCTTCCAGACACTTGGGCCATGGCCAAAAGGCAGCATTCAGCTGTTGTGCCAGGTGTGGCAAGCAGAAAGACCAGGTAACAGGAATCTCTGTGCAGTGGCTGAACACATCTCCAGAATGTAAAAGCTAAAGTAAAATGCCAGGGTGACAGGCCTGCTAGGAACATGGTCTCCATTTGATTGTAGATAAGAGTGTGACGCACAGATGACACTCGAGTTGCAGATGAAGCAGGGAAGCTTGGGAACCCTCGGGGGAAATCTTAGTCTCCAGGCCACCATTGCACTGCAAGAGCTTAAGAGCCTGGGACACAGGGCTGGGGGTGGTGGGGCCGGGACACTGCCAGGCCGTGCCTTCCTGAGAAGGTAAAAAGGTGGAGAAAGATAGGAAAGGAGCCAGCCAAGCTCTCTGGAAACTTGAAAGAAGGGTACATTTGTGTGGTCGCATTTTAAAAATGGACAGAAAGAGGTCACTCTCACCTATAATTCCAGGTACTTGGGAGGCAGAGATGAGAGGACTGCAATCTGAGGCTAGTCTGGGCAAAAGTTAGGACCTATCTTAAAAAGCAAGGCATCATGGAGTCAGACCTCCTCACCAGCAGGCTGATGAGACCCAAAGGGTGAAGCCTCTGTGTTGAGCTGAAAGGTACAGGCAGGCGAAAGCAGCAGTGGACCTGGGCACCAGTGGCTCACGCCCGTAATACCAGCTACTCAAGAGGCTGAGATCTGAGGATTGCAGTTCAGAGCCAGCCCCGGGGAGGAAAGTCTGTGAGACTCTTATCTCTAATTAACCTCCAAAAAATGGGAAATGGAGTTGTGGCTCAAGTGGTAGAGCACTGACCTTGAGCAAAAGAGGCACTGAGTTCAAGCCCCAGTACTGTAAAAAGGAAAAGCAGAGCCACAGTGGATCTTCTAATTTTTGGCTCAGACCACCTTGGCACTAGGAGATGCCACCCTCTGCTCAGGTGCCATTTGAAGTGGAGCCAACCTGGGCCTTGAAGTAGCTGCTGGTGGTGCAGTCCAGGGGGGAGAGAACTGCTCGGGGGGCCGCTGCAGCCCCGCTGTGGCACTGTCCTCCGGGCCCTTCTAGATAAGTGCACACCCAGCCCTCCCTGGTGAGGGTCCCTTCCCCCGGGGTGACTGGATGGCCCCGCTATCAGGGGCAGCTGTGCTGGAGAAGACGGGGAGCTGGGACGAGGCACCTTCAGACTCCTGCTGCTACGAGATGCTCCCCTTCCCGTCTCATATTCTCATAGCCAGGCCAGGGCAGTCTGCTTCCCTTCACGCTGGCCGTCAAGCTACCTACTGCTGCATGGCTGGGCCCGGCTCTGTGCCACCTTGGCCTCCTGCCCTGTGCAGCCCTGACAAGGTAGCTGTGGGCGGCCATTGTGTGTCTCAAACCCAGTACCTTGAGAGCAGTGCCTGGTTCCCCCGCCCCCCGTCCTCCACGAAGACCATGAGCAGATGGCCCCTTTGCTTTGTGACAACGTAGCCACGGGGACAGGGGTACCTCGTCCTGTGCCAAGTTCCCGGCTGCCCCACACTGGGCCACCGGGGTGTGTGGGTGTGGGTAGCCCGCATTCCTCACTAACCTCCCCCTCGTCCTCCACCCCTGCTCACAGGCCTCCTGTTTCTCTTTCCATCCATTAGGCAATACTGAGTGCTCCACAACGCGCGAGGTCTCCTAGCAACCTTCCTGAGGAATTCTGCCTGGCCCCGATTAGAAAACTGGAGCCGAGGCCCCGAGATTGATGAGTTTGCCTTGGGAGACGGTGAGAAGGTGAAGCCGAGGTAGATATGGGTCAGAAGGTCACCGGAGGAATCAAGACGGTGGACATGCGGGACCCCACATACCGCCCCCTGAAGCAGGAGCTCCAGGGGCTGGATTACTGCAAGCCCACCCGACTGGACCTGCTGCTGGACATGCCCCCCGTGTCCCACGACATACAGCTGCTCCACTCGTGGAACAACAACGACCGCTCGCTCAACGTCTTCGTGAAGGAGGACGACAAGCTGATCTTCCACCGGCACCCGGTGGCCCAGAGCACGGACGCTATCAGGGGCAAAGTGGGGTACACGCGCGGGCTGCACGTGTGGCAGATCACGTGGGCCATGAGGCAACGAGGCACGCATGCGGTGGTGGGCGTGGCCACGGCCGACGCCCCCTTACACTCCGTGGGGTACACGACCCTTGTGGGCAATAACCATGAGTCCTGGGGCTGGGACTTGGGGCGCAACCGGCTCTACCACGATGGCAAGAACCAGCCAAGCAAAACATACCCGGCCTTCCTGGAGCCAGATGAGACGTTCATCGTGCCCGACTCCTTCCTCGTGGCCCTGGACATGGACGATGGGACCCTGAGCTTCATTGTGGATGGACAGTACATGGGCGTGGCTTTCCGTGGACTCAAAGGCAAAAAACTGTATCCTGTAGTCAGCGCCGTCTGGGGCCACTGCGAGATCCGCATGCGCTACTTGAATGGACTCGATCGTAAGTGTTCCCCGTCACGTCTAAGTCAGTACCCTCCCCACGTCTCCAGGGAACTGGGCCCACCGTTTATGCAGTTGCTGGACTTACAATGTCTTTTAAGTAGATGTACCAGCATCTGCAAAGGCCACTCTTTACCTTCGTCTGGTTAAATGAGGAATTCTAGCGGAAGTCTTCTGGATTTCCTGACCAGTGTCTGCTGAATTAATGGATGATGGCTGGTTGGATGAATGGGTGGAGGGATGAATGGATGGATGAAGGATTACTGTAAGCCCACCCTCCTGGGCCTGGTTCAGTGAAGGGATTTTGGCTAGCTGGCTGGCTGAATAATGGATAGATGGTGGATGGAAGATGATAGATGGCTGGAAGATGATGGATAGAATGAGAGGTTGGATGAATGAATGGATGGATTGGTAAATGATGGATGGTTGGGTGGATGAATGAAAATGGCTAGCTGAGTGATGGATGAGCAAATAGATAATGGCTGGATGGACAAATGGATGAATGATGGATGAATAGATAAATAAATGATTAGATGGATGATGAATGAACAATGGATGGAATAAGTGGTTAGGTGTATGAAGATGGATTGGTAAATGATGGTTGAGTGGATGAATGAGCAGGTAGGTGGGTGATGCTGGAATGAATGGATAAATGAGTGTTTATTTCTTTTGAATGACCCACCTCCAGCTTTGCTCTGTAGTTGCCAAGTTCTAGAACAGTAACCAGTATGGGTTTTGGGTTTTGGGGGTTTTTTTTGTAGTATGTTCTTCACAGCCTGGGACACTCTAGGGCCTCTCAGACAAATGAAAGCCAGTGAGCTCACTTGCTCAGATTTGGCTCTTTCCTGGGGTTGGACGTGGTCTGGACCTGATTAGTCACAATGGTGGGAGATTGTTGAAGAGGAATCAGTGCACTCCTTGAAAACTACTGGAACATCCAGGATAGTCTACTTTTCTCTTTGGAAACCGTCCTTGCCCCTTTCTCTCCAGCCTCTGTTCAGGCTTTGCTAGGGGCTAACAGTGAGCCCACAGCTGGATGAGACATTTGCAATACAGCGTACGCAGGATGCTTGGTCCTCCCCTGCGTAGACAGCGCCCCAAGGAGAGGGGGCCTCTGGCAGGGGCAGCCAGGGCACACACCGCGGGTAGCCTCCCTGAGGAAGTCACCTCAGGCCCAGACTGAGGAACCAGCAGAGCAAGTTCTGTGAGTCCATCTCCTCAAGTGACAGAAATAAATGACATAAGTCCACAGCCAAATGTGCCCTGCGCAAGGATGGGCAGTGTTGGGTGGGGAATGGGAGGCTTGACCCCTTCTACCCAGGACTGAGGAGTTCAGGGATGCCTGGCGCCAGACCCTGCCTGCAGGTGACTCAGATCTTGTCAGCCTTCGGTGTAGACAGATGGCAGGATTGACAGGCTGACTGGCCCTTGACTGGCCTAGACTAGAACTATCTGTCTATGTGTCTGTGTCAGTCTGTTTGCCTCTATCTGTCTGTCTGCCTGTCTGTCTGTCTGTCTGTCTGTCTGTCTATCTGTCTATCTATCTATCTATCTATCTATCTATCTATCTATCTATCTATCTTCTTTGTGTGTGCTGGTCCTGGAACTTAAACTCAGGGTCTTGTGCTCTTGCTTGGCTTTTTCACTCAAGGCTGGTACTCTACCACTTGAGCCATACTTCCATTTCCAGCATTTTGCAAGTTAATTGAGATAAGCGTCTTCAGTTTGTCTGCCCAGGCTGGCTTCAAACCTTGATCCTCAGATCTCAGCCTCCTGAGTAACTATTACAGGCATGAGCACTGGTATCTGCCTATTTTGCTCCAGTACTGGGGCTGAGCCTCAGGATCCCAGTTGGCCTTTTTTTTGTGTTTTGTTTTGTTTTTCATGGCTGATACTGTATAACTTGAGCCATGACCCCAGTCTGACATTTAGCTGGTTAATTGGATACAGAATCTCTCGGATTTTTCTGCCCAGACTGGCTTCCAACCTTGACTTTCAGATCTCAAGTGTCTCAGTGGCTAGGATTACAGGCGTGATCCACCAGTGTCCAACTAGGAAAATGGCCCCGTGTTGTCCCTCTGGGAACGTTTGCCTGCAGACAGGAGCGCTGCAAGTTTGCACGCCTGTTTGGTGTGTCCCAGCTCTCATATAGCCCCTGAGCGGTAGGAGGGGCCTGGGAGCTGTTTGCCCTTGGAGAGCAACCTCTCAAATAGAAATTCTGCCCACACTGTCCTAGAGGGGTAGGCCTGCGCCCGCTAGATGCTCTCTCGCCCTGCATCCTGCCTGGAGGTTGAATGTGTTTTCCATTGTTCTTGCTTGGAAAATTCTACACGATTTGGGTGGGGGATTGTGAATGGGAAGAAGTTGTTGGAAACTGTGGCTATAAGTTGTTGGAATCTGGACAGAGACTCAAAGTGTTAGAGCATCAGGACACTCCTAGCCAGGGATGAGAACCGGTGCCCTCTCCACCTCAGTCCTAGGCTGGCTTCTCTGTTGGGCTTCTCCGCTTTCTCAGCCCTCGTCAGGCATGGCTGACTGGAGGCCACACCTGATGCCGTAGATGGCCAGGTCCAGGGATGCCGAGCGGGACTTTTGAGGGCCACTGCAATATGCCTACCAGCACCGACACTTTAGTGTCCTTACTGGGGAAGGGAGGGTAGGCCTTAGAAGGACCCTTGGCCGATGGTAGGGCGAGGGTAGGTGCTGTGATAGTTGTCCCAGTGAGAGATAACAAGGCTTAGTCTAGGGTGACAGCCACGGAGGTGGTGGGAGGCAGCCAGGTTCTGGAAAGTGCCATCTAAGTGGATCACAGGAGACAGGAGAGGGAGTCATCGAGAGGACTGTGGTGTTGCATCTGTGTAATGGAAGGTTGGGGCTGTCTGTTGAGATGAGATGAGGAAGCCAGAGGAAGGAGCAGGTTGAAGGGTAGAAGTCCGTGGAGATGCTTGTTTGTTGTATGCACATGGGTTTGAAGGCCTGGAGTCTGGGACACAGGGGTCAGATGCCATCTATGTACAGGTGATTTAAAACCATGACCATCGGGGCTGGGATGTGGCTCAGCAGAGGAGCGCTCACCTGGCACTTAGCTCGCATGCACAAGGCACTGGGCTCCCTTCCCAGCACAAGAATAACTGAATGAATGAATGAATGAATGAATGAGTGAATGAATGGATGATAGAATAATAACATCAGAAGCTGTTGCCCTGGATGATGAGATGACCAGAATAAGGGTAGGGTCAGGTAGGGAGTAAGGCCAAGCCCTGTTAGAGGTCAGGAGGCTCAAGAGGAGGCAGAGGAAAATAGCCACATGGCTGGAGGAGAGCCAGGAGAGTGGTACCCAGGCAGCTGGTGAAGGAAGACCTTCAAGAAGGACAAAGTAATGGCAGGTGGTGAACACTGACCGCTGCTTCGGCACCACAGCCGCCGTGGCAGCTTTAAGGGTGAGCAGCGTGACCATTACTAAGTCAGGGACACTTCCTGATGTGACGTTTTCCCTTGACCTCACAGATCTACCATTCATTCCTTTCCCCTAGCACTGGGCGCAGCGCTGCAGAGCTGTTAGTCCTCGCCAGGAGTCATTTGGGTGGGATGAGGTCAATGTCTGGTGGAAGAAGAGGAAGGAGGATATGTTCTTTCTTGGGGCAACCATAACAAATGACCAAAAGCTGGCTCAAGTGGTTGAGCACCATCTTAAGTGAAAAAGTTAAGGGACAGAGAGCCCGGGCTGAGTTCAAGCCCTAATGCTAGAATGTATGTATGTGTGTGCGTATGTGCATGCGATCACACACACACACACTGGTACCTGATGGGCTAGAGGCATGGCTTAAGTGGTAGAGCACCTGCCTAGGAAATGCAGGACCCTGAGTTCAAATGCCAGTACTGCCAAAAAAAAAACTGGACCCTGAGAGCAGTTGAGTGGCACAGAGATCCCTTCCCGAGCCTGTTCAGGATTCCGTGCCGATGTGTGCCAGCGAGAGCCGGCTCCTACATCCAGCAGGCTGACCTGCTCTCAGGACACTGCTTGTCTGGATGGGACAGGGAAGAGGCCCAGAATGGCCTGGGTGCGAGTCCCAGACCAGGCTCTCCCAGCTAGGCAACTCTAGGCAAGTCATTCACACTCTTGTGAGTTTTCTCCTGTACAATGATAGAGAGGATGATGATGGCCTCTCTGATTGTTCTATCACTCATGATACCCACTACAGAGATGAAATAAGGCACCAGTGGCTCACGCCTGTCATCCTAGCTACTCAGGAGACTGAAATCTGAGGATCGCATTTCAGGAAATTCTGAGACTCTTATCTCCAATTAACCAGTGGAAGTGGAGCTGTGGCTTATATGTAGAGCACCAGTCTTGTAAAGAAAAAGCTAAGGGGGCCCTGAGTTTAAGCCTTAGTACTGGTTCAAAGAAGTCAGTCAATCAGAGATGGCAGAGGCTGGCCAAGCTTCCCAGCCCAGAGTGGTTTCTCTGTGTCAGCTGGCACTATCCATTTAAAGCCAAAAGAGCATCGCGTTCCTTAATGATCTGCTCAGCTCCGCATGAATCAAAGGTAACCTTGTGCACTTGGTGAGGGCTGTGGTTCTGGAGCCATCCTGAGCCGAGCTGACACTCTCTCCCTCTCTCCCCTGGTTTCCCCAGCGGAGCCCCTGCCGCTCATGGACCTCTGCCGACGCTCCGTGCGCCTGGCCCTGGGGAAGGAGCGCCTGGGCGCCATCCCCACACTGCCGTTGCCTGCCTCCCTCAAGGCCTACCTCCTCTACCAGTGACGCGCCCCAGGACGCCCCCTGGTGCCAGCTCACGGAGCCACCGCCACTGCACCCTGCACTTGATGCCCGCCCCAGACATGGGCAGAAGCAGCCTGCGCTTCCTCCTCATCCTCCCTGCTGCCTCTGCCCTAGGACTGGTGCCAGGATGGCCAGGCCCTTCTCCTTCCCCGATGCTGGCCGCAGCAGCCCCCTGCCGAGTCACCGCCCCTCCGCCAACCAGAGGGAGAATAAACTCCTACGAAAGCCTCCATGGGCGCAGTGTGCTGTTGGGTGGGCGGGCTGCGGTGAGCACTCTGGGGAAAGGCTGGTGTCAGTCAGCCAGGGAGGGGGCTCTGAGGCGAGGGGACCAGTGGGAGGTACTGGAGCTTGCCAGCAATGCCAGCAGTGGGCGGGGAGGGGGCGGGAGGCAGGCCGCCCAGGTGAGGCTCAGGATGTCTGCCCCATGGACACCAAGACAGAGCCCCAAGTTGGATCTCCCCAAGACAGTAGCACTCGGGCCTGACCCTGGCTGCTCATGCCCCATACCCTGTATTTATTCTCTTAACAATAACGAAGGCCATTTATTTATTCCATTTAGAAAGGAAAGCGTGTTCAGTCTCCTCCCGCTGGTGTGTGCGCTTGCTTTTCTCCCACCTGTCGCCTCCCAGGGCTTGTGTGCCACACCTGTCCTTCCCGGGGCCCTCCTGCCTGCATGGGGCCGGTGTCTGTGTGCACATCCCTTGGCCTGCTTTCCAGGGGCTGTCTCTGAGCTCCTGTGCCGGCTGCAGGCCCCAGGGTCTCGGGGTCGCCCCTTACCTCTGGAGGTCATGCATCCTTGCACCCGTTTGAGTTTCTTTTGTTCTTTGTGCCGGCTTTCTGTTTTTTGTTTTTTAGGGTTCGTTTGTTTGTTTGGGGTTCTTTTTTTATGGTGTGAGTTTAAATTTCCATCTGCTTTTCTTGCTGAGATTCCCCAGGGCGGCCTCAGAAGCTCTGTGCCCAGAATATCAGGCAGAGAAAGGAGTTGATCTCTGGGCTCCAGAAGCCACGCTCAGCTTGCGCAGGGGAGACCAGAGCTGAGCCTTACAGAAACCATCACCCCAAGCGCATCCCCCGCAGAGCCTCAGGAGGGGCTGCCAGCAGGAAGGGTCCCAGCCCCCAGCAGTACCCCACTCCCTCCGTAGCTCCCAGCTCCTGCCGCTGCCCCGCCATTTCTTTTATCTTGAAATCAACTCTCTTAGGATCTGAGGTCTGTTCATTCCTGCACAGGTACAATAGATGTCTTTATTTGTTTGAAATGTTTAATATATATGCATATATATTTGTCCGTAAGAATTATGTTTTAAGCAGCTGCTGTAGGGTACCATTAAAATTTTTTTCTTTCTTCCAGTGAAGTATATTTTTTAAAGCACACAATTGGTGCCAAGACTGGGTGAGGAATGTATATTACCCCTTTGTATTTTGAGGATTTTGTTTCCCCTTGGGGAGGAGACCTCACCTGTCAGACTCTTGAAGATTCATCCCATTGCTCTACTTTCAGGGTGGGTCATTTTCTAGCAAAATGTTGCACAAGGGAGGGGTTCACTTGTCTAGCCCCCTACTTGTCACTTTGACCCCGGGGGTCCTCAGCCCCCCCCTCCTTTCCTAAGCCCAGAGCCTTGTGGCATGTACAGTTTTGAAACTCCAGTTCTATTTTATGATGGTTCATAATAGTAACCTAATAAAGGAAAGTTTGTTAAAATATGAAACCACTTTGGAGTCCTTTCTTTGTGCCGTAGGGGCGGGCACAGAGGCCTGGCCGGGCCCGCTCCAGTCCCGCCAGCAGCACTGCCCATGGTGCCCACCAGAACCTCAGGTGGAGGAAGAGTGTCCTGGAGATGCTCCAGAAGCACCTCCTGGTTTTGGAAGTCTGTTACCCAAGCAGCCTAACGAAGATAACTCGCCGAGCCTCATAGAACATGATTCTACACACTCGAGACCATTGGTCATTGACCTCATTCAAAAATTTGTGTTGGCCTGGGTGCTGGTAGCTCACATCTGTCATTCTAGCAACTCGGAAGGCTGAGATCCTGGGATCACAGTTCAAAGTCAGTCCAGAAGCTCTTATCTCCAATTAGCCAGCAAAAAGATGGAAGTGAAGGTGTGATTCAAGTGGTAAGAACATCAGCATTGAATAGAATAGGCCAAGTGGGAAGGTGAGGTTCTGAGTTCAAACCCCAGTACTGGCACGTGTGCTCCTGTGTGTGCACACGCATACACACACACACACACACACACACAGTGCTTGCATTGCCTTTGGCTTGTTAAGAGCAGAGCCAGGTTCAGCACTTGCCAGAAGGAGCAGATCCCTGTTCATCTAAAGACTCCATCCGCACACGTGCAGCTGCCTATGAGAACTTGCCCTGAGACATGTCAGAATCTGGGGGTGCAGTGAGAAGCACCTGTCCTGGGGACCCAAGGCTTCTGGGACCAGGGTGCTGGTGTCTCTGAGTGCCTGCCGATCAGCATCCTCACTCCCTGGTTCTGGGAGCACCCGGAGGTGTTCATTAACAGGTAGATACCAGGGCCCTGGAATCTGAGACAGACAGAACCGGCATTCTGGGGCCTGGCCCAGGGATCTGTGATTCCCCCTCCCCACTACTGTCGGTGGCCCAGTCCCTGAGAGACTTGGACACGCCATTTGTGACTGCATCAGCTCTTTGCCTCTTAGAGTTGCTGAGTAACGGGGATGATTTCAGTGTGGTGTAGCTTGGCCCAGATGCAAGCACATGGACTCCTGAGTCAGACCTGGGTTCAAATATTCATGCTGTGGTCTTAGACAAGTCTCTACGACACCCGGTCATGAATGTGTCTGTGTAGTAGGAGAGTAACAAGGGGACATGAGGCTCCCAGAGCTGGGCCCCACATCTCAATAAGTAAGCGTGTCAGCAAATGCTTTGAAAACTCAGCTGAGCATGGTGGCTGCCATCTGTGATCCCAGCTACTCAGAAGGCAGAGATTGAGAGGATCAAGGTTCAAGGTCAGCTTAGGCAAGAAAAAAAAGCTATCAAGGCTTCATTTCAACAAGTAGCTACTGCTCAGGAGGCTGAGATTTGAGGATTGAGGTTGAAAGCCAGCCAGGGCAGGAAAGTCTGTGATACTCTTATCTCCAATAAATTGCCAGAAAACCAGAAGTGGCGCTGTGGCTCAAGTGGTAGAGTGCTCACCTTGAGCTGAAGAGCTGAGGGACAGCGCCCAGGCCCAGAGTTCAAGCCTTACGACCAAAAACAACAACAAAAAAACCAAGTAGCTAGGCATAAATCTGTGGCCCTGACTATATCTGAGGATGAGGGTCAGAGGCTAGCCATCTAAAGCACAGCTAGGGTGTAAGATGTCTGATGGTGCTGAGCACCCGTGGCTCAACACCTTTCATCCTAGCTGTTCAGGAGACTGAGATCTAAGGATCATGGTTCAAAGCCATCCCAGGCAGAAGCATCTGTGAGACTCCCAGCAAAAAGCTGGAGTGAAGATGTGGCCCAAGTGGTAGAGCACCAGCTTTGAGTAAAAAGCCAAGCGAGAGCATGAGGCCCTCAGTTCAAGCCCCAGTACCAGTCCCCCAAAAGGCCGATGGTGTGGGCTAAGTGGCAGAGCACCTGACTAGTAAGCATGAGTCTCTAGGTTCAAACCCCACTACCGCCAAAAATAAAAATTAAAAAAAAATGGATGCACTTCTGGAAAACGGCACTTCCATGATTGGGGGTTGGTATTGGAAGGGGGAGCAAATAAAGCGGCTCCTTGATAAATGTTCTTTTCCCCCCCAGGTGGTCTCAACAATCCAGTGGGTGTTAGATGGATCCTGCCCTGGACGCAGGCGGAGGAAAAGGGTGGTCTCGAATTATTTTTAGGTTGGAGTTCATGTCTGGGTTGCAGTTGGAACTCTGGCTCCTTTGAAGGGGCGGCAGGGGAGGCTTGGGGAAAATGAGGGCCTTTGTACTGCCAGAGACTTCTAGGGGAGCAGGGTTTGTGTTGAAGGGCGCAGTATTAATAAAACCATCTGTGCAGACTTGGCGCATGTGATTGTAATTAGTCCCTGCCTTTGAGCAGGTAGCGGCCGTGGGGCTTGGCCATAGATGGGAAGAGAGCTCAGCCTCCATCCTCCTCAGCAGCCTCCCTCCTGCTCTTCGGCGGGACTTTACTGAACCATAAACTATGCTTCGGGGAGCTGGGGAGGGGGCCGAGGACAGAGCAATTAGTTCATGCTCCGATCCAGACACCCAAACATGGTTGGACTCCAGCTACAAGGAATATTTGAAATGAAGAGCTGCCCAGAGCCAGGAGTTTGCTGTGTTTTCTGGAAGGCTATGGTAACCAGGGAGGAAATCATGAGCAAATGATGTCCTGGCCGAGCGAGCAAGCCAGAGGAAGCAGCTCAGAGCTCTCCTAGGGTTTCTCGGGACTGAGAAGCTGCTAGAAGCCAGGTCTCAGTCTGCCCATCCTCCTGATCTTTGGGCCTCCAAAGTGAGATCTTCTTTTAGACTCTGTTTGTTGTTGTTGTTGTTGTTTTGTTTTTCATTGAATTGTTGGGAAGAAAAGAGTAAAGGAACTTTTCCCTGGACCTTTCTTCCCATGCCACAGAAAAACAGCTACTGTCTCTACTGGGCTGATCATGAGTTTCTAGGCAGAGAGAATGTTCTCAATAGAAAACACAAGCCAAGGGCTGGCTGGCTGGAAAGTGGCTCTGACCTCTGACCTCTGGGTCTCTCTCCTGGACCCAGCCCTCTTCAAGGTCTTCTGTGTGAGACAATGTTCCTCAGCCCCCTTCCTTCCCCAGATGGTGTCTGAGGTGGGACCTGTGTGAACCTGTTTTGCTTTATTCTTTCAGGAAGGGTCTCACACTTTTGCCTGGGGGCTGAATTCAGAGAGAGACTCTTCCATAAGCAGAGGGCCTAGGTGGAGGCTCGGCCTGTGGGTCACTGCTGCCCCCACATCTAAAGCCGCCAGAGGAACTCGGGGAGGAAGCAAAATCTCAGGAAGCCTGGTAGACCCGAAGTGGGGT